AACCAGCCAGCGAAAATTTACATAATGCATAAACTTCCAAGCTAGGAAAAAGGCTAAACACTCATTTAGGCAGCCAGTATCAAGTAAATGTGTCTTTTTGCCAGCAAATACTTACAATGTATCAGATTCTCCCAGCTAGCAAACAATCACATGCGGAGCGGATATTTTGCAGAGCGGCTCCGGTTGATATTTTTTCATTACTGGGGCCTGTATCTTAATCTGGCCTTTATGGTATTTCCCTTCACTTTATATCTTGTGGCGAACAGTTCATAACAAGTTGCGCACTGAAAACTGTATAGTAGCAGGTCCAGTTGAATAAAATATTATTTACTGGAATTATTGACGGGTGTATATAATGATTTTTTCCTTGACCGTATCTTAAATGTTTTCTTCATTTTCTTCAGCAACTTTCTCATTACCCTCGTCTCTTTCCTGAACTTGGTTCAACAGCAGCAGTTGTATAATGTCGTACACCATTCTATAAAACAACTCGTGCAAGGCTCTCAGTAGGTTCATCAGTGGTACAATAACAGCTTCGTTGTTTGGATCAGTCATCTTGTTCAGTGCTGTAATGAAGTGGCATGCTGGTGTGTGCTGTTGTTAATACAGTTATAATAGGCAGTACTCCCGAAAGTGATGTTCCCATTGGTTTATTCCTTATTGTAGCACCGGTCATTGAATCATGTAAATATTCGAATACGTCATTACGTCATCTCATTTGTATATGGGATACGGATTGAAGATCATTTTAGTGTCCTCGATTGGTTGTCACTAGAAACTAAATCCATTTACACATAAATTATAAAAGAAAAAGAAAAATCATTTTGATTAACCGTGTTGAGTATTTATACAAACCGATCATTTTATTAGCTTTCTTTAAAGAGTAAAAAATGTTTAGTAATAAAAACCTCAATTACGAAGCGTCGTGTGTTATTTTCGTATTCTTAGAATCATAAACCAATTAAACAGTACACCGATCGGCAAGAAAGCTATTTGCTGAAAGTATAGTTTGTTCGAGTATAAACTTTGCCTTGTCTTCGTCTTTATGACGTCATCTGCGCGATGCACTATTAGCTTATACCACTCCCCCACCAGGACAAACCAAATCAATATCAAACAATCAACTTTAAAGGAATACATACATACGTACTTCCCAAATCAATATTTTATGGCCGTATAAAAAAATTTACAATATCATTTACACATGAATAGTTGTATTATAATATGAATTCCATAGTAAAGACTATGTGTAATTGAATCTGAAGAATGAATGAAAATGAATGGATGAATGGAAAAATTAATAAACGAGGGAATGGATGGATAGATGAATGGATGAATTTTATTTCTAATTTAACTTCGACTTCATAAACTACAAAGTTTTAGTGATTCAGTTTATTTTCAAAAATACACTGTGTCCTTGCGTGACAAAAAGAAATATACATTTTTGAGCATCCTTAATTAAGTTACAAATTCGATCAACGAGCAGCTTCAAGAACTGGATTACAGACTACGATAGTACTGAACGTTTTGCAGCGCTTTTCATAATTCTGCGACCTCGGTGCCCTGAGTTGCAAGCTGAAATTTGTTTTTTCGCTGTCTTTCAATCAAACCTAATTGTCGGTAACTTACATATTTTTGACTGACGGCAGCGAAAATCCAAATTTCAGCGTGTAACTCAGAGCACCGAGGTCACAGAATTATGAAAATAACTGTAAAACTATTAAAATATCAAAAGCTATTAAAATAGCTGAGAACTAAAAACTCTAAAATTATAATGTATCAAAATACTACTACTTTGCACTATTACAAAAAATGAAAAATGCAAATCCTGTAGGAAAAATCTATCAAGATGTACGACAATCGTTAGATCTACTTTATACATTATTTCACTTTTTCCCGAGGAGGATGTTAGGTTGACATATCACATCAGTATTGTTAATATTTTTGTACATGCATCGCCAGGATTAAGGATCTTTCTGAGCAACATCTCTACTTGCTGGTATCTTATATGTTATTTCTACAGCTGCTAGTTATTGCTTTAATATCTAATGGCGGTCCTCGGTCTGTAAAGAGATCAAAAGTTCAAATATTAAAATCATGTAATGCATTATTTTCTAAGTGAACAGGTCACTGAACAAAATAAAAAAATAGAAATGTGAAGATCAAAGAATCACTGGAATCATCAGTGTTATATTTGATGGGATTGTATATTGAATAAAGCTGAAAATTTCCGATCGCCTTCAGAGCCTCCGATTGGAAGGAACTAAGCACTGGGTACGAGTTGCACTAAAAAAAATATTTACGCTAATTTCAGAGCGTTGTTGACAATACTTTTTCTGAAACATATTGCATTTCACTACAAGATGAAAACAGTTCTGACAATTTAACAATATTTTGATTTTGACTATTTCTAGGGACTTGTTTTTTATTCTTTTATGAATGTCCCTGAATTTCCGTGGGTTTCCCTTCACTTCAGCGATCATGTAGCGCCGAGCAGTTCATAACAAGTTGCGCACTGAAAACTGTATAGTAGCAGGTTCAGTTGAATAAAATATTATTTACTGGAATTATTGATGGGTGTATATAATGTTTTTTTCCTTACCCGTATCTTAGTTGTTTTCTTCATTTTCTTCAGGTACTTTCTCATTACCCTCATCTCTTTCCTGTTGGTTGAACAGTAGCAGTTGTATAATGTCGTACACCATTCTAAACAACTCGTGCAAGGCTCTCAGTAGGCTCATCAATGGTACAATAACAGCTTCGTTTGGATCACTCATCGTGTCCAGTGCTGCAATGTAGTGCTTGAATACTGTACGTACGTTGTAAATCTTGTAATAAGAAAATCCCAAAGTCTACTGTGTTTTTATCCCAGACTATTTAAATACCGCATATAAGTGGTGCTCCTATTGGTTTACATTGAAGTCAACTATGTGCTTTTTTCCAAGCCTACTCGAGTGAAAAGCTAACTGACCATGCATGCTGGAGTTAGACAACTTACATCATTGACTTTCAAGGCCTTTTATAAAGGTGGGCGTCTTTACAAAACAATGGATCTATATGTACTAGTATCCGATTCGTTTTCGAGTACCGAGTACTGAGGTGAATCACTGCTATTCTGGGAAAGTCCCGAATAGAAGACCGCTTCGCTACACTGGTGTTCGAGATCATTCTAAACAACAATCGTACGCAACGAACTACTGTATCCTATACCTGCCTTGTGACCGTTTACGTAAACGTACGTGTCGGTTAATAAGTTAATAAGTTAATCCAAATCCCCTAAATAACCAAGAATGTTCATATAGAATGTATATATAGACGGGAACACTGAAAAAATCAAGCAAGCACATAACAGAACAGATAAGTAACAACTTATACAGTTTCTAACGGCTAAAAACACAAATTTTTGCCCTAGCGCCCTTGTTCTAATATTATTATTTGGATCTGCGATGATTGAACATGACGTCATAAGATTTTTTTCTTGCAGCTTCACCAGATCTCTTAKGTGCACTGGCAACCATCTATTCTAGGTTAATAAGCCTATCTAAGACAAACTTCCATGGGAATCTGGACAAAGACCGATCCGATAAATTTCAAAACAAGCAGTTCTTGAGTTTAAAGGCAGTCGACCAGAACATGAATTATTGATGTGCTTTGCTTTGCTGGTTTTTACCCAGAYTTTAAAATCTTCCTAAGCGTGGGTTTGATTTTCTATACTTTTCTTGCATTCCACATACACTTTCGCTTGCAATAGGAAAAGCGCACAAGTGCTGACTTGATATGCATAGCGCGATCTTGTTATATGGCTTGCCTTCAGTACAGTATCCGCTCTTCCACTTGTCATAATGCCAGCTTGGACGAGTGTGCTAAAATTAATTTAACAAAAATATGACTGCTGATCACAGACACTACGATTGATACATTACAAACACGCTGGCATTTATTCTAAAACAACGTCTGAGTGCCGTAATGGGAAATTTGCATTATGGCGTCAATTACTACCACTACCAGACTCCATTGCACACTGTCTTTTGTTCTGTTAATTAGCACCAATTGTCTCACTATTCCCACGAGGAACTACAAATTTAGATACGAAAGAAAATTCACGAAGTATTTTGGTAGTGGTAGTAAAATGACGCCATAATGCAAATGGCCTATTGTGAACTGAGCGCAGCTGCTCCATCTTCGGTGACCGGGAGCCGCAATAAAAAAWGTCAAAGTCAAAAAAATCAAAAGATCAAAAGTCAAAGTGAATTAGAAACATATTACAAAGTAAGTTTGTCTTTTTGATCAATTTACTCTTTAGCCTCCGACATTCTGTTTTCAGGCGATTTGTCAAACGACCAAAACCAAAACAGCGAAAAGTCAAACTCAGATTCAAAGCTTGTAGAAGGCACAAATGTAAAAACTGGACCCAAATGTAATAAGGGTCACAAATGTAATAAAACATATTTTTGTATCAGTCTCAAGGCCAAAACTAATTGTGCTTTTAATTGTTGTAAACTCAAAATCCATTGTACAACTGTACATAGCCTCCTTTGCATCCGTTCTTAGGATCGTCACGCAGCGTTTCAACGTTTCAACGTGACGACTCTATGAACGACTGCAAAGGAGGCTATGTACAGTTGTACAATGGAAATTTTCCACAATTGTTTTACTCAGATTTAAGATCACACATTATTTGTACAATTTCTAAATTCACTTAAGTTTTAAAATGCCTACGAGGAACGCCTGGGAGCTTTGAATCTGAATTTGACTTTTCGCTGTTTTGCTTTTGGCCGCTTGACAAATCGCCTGAAGACAGAATGTCGGATGTTAACTTCAAGAAGCCGCACTCAAGCTATACAATTTTCGGGTTATTCGCACATCTAAMYCCATGTAGAATCAGTAYTGAGAAYATTGTCAAAAGGGTGACAGGCATTAAYAACAACACAGGAGCAAGGTATGTTCCCTATTTATTTTTAAAAAATTACGTATTTTTTCGTCGTCATACATTGGGCTGCCTATGCTCGACTCTAGTMTCGTACCCAGAGCTCCTCGGWCTCGTTCCTCCCGCGAAGAGGCTCTGGTAACCAAAGGAGCACGGCATAAATAAATTTGCTTATTGGTATTCCTGTCGTGCATAATTTAATTGGCCACTGTAGATCTGTTTTTACATTKGAATATATGTAAACATCGATGGTAGTATCTGCGCTTACTGAGTTCCACCCAATTAAGTTCTTTCCGAGCATCAGATGCTGAGGAGTGTAGAGGACGATCCAGGATGATCTTGGCCGCTTTGTTGCGCAGGGTTTGAAGAGATTCCATAAGCGTGATATTATCTTTATCTCCCCAAACAATATCACCATAATCAAAAAGCAGTAGGACCAAGCTGTTGAAGTACAAGAGTCTAGCGAATTTAGGCAAAAGATTTTTGATTCGCTTCAGGAGACCAAGGCGTTTGTTTTTCAACATGAGCAGACCAAGTCATATTGCTGTAAAAGACCACACTAAGGTACTTGAATTCTTGAACTCTCTCGATGTCTTTGAGGTGGACCTGTATAGTATGGAGATGGTGGAGATGTTGGTCTTTCTCTTGCTTCCAAACAGCATGGCTTTAGTTTTGGTTGCATTCAGGGTCAAATGATYGATCTTAAACCAATCACCAACCAGCTTGAGATCTTCATTAAGCTTATATCTTCTATGTCAGGAACTGAGGAGGAGAAATAGTACAAGGCTGTATCATCAGCGTATAGGGATACTTGAGAATGGCGGACAACATTAGGAAGATAAGATATATATTTCCATAAAGAGCAAGAGCACGTCAAAANTGAAGCTTGTAAGGTCTGGCATTCAACAATGACGGCAATTCCAGGACGATTAGGCTTCAAATATGAGTTCTGGTAGATATAAAATGTCGAAAAAAATGTCCTAAGACTAATAAAAGTTCTTAAAATATCTACAAATTGGAAAAATTTGAAAAAAATCCTAAATCTATACTAAAAACTCAAAAATCTTGTAGAGCTATTGAAAAAAGCATGCGACCGTGAAGGCGCTTACATACCATTGTAATTTTTGAGATGTTCTTGTAAATCTTGTACAGTCTTAAACTCAACTATTTATTCACTCAAAGGTTTCTCCTTTTACAGCAGTAGAAGTAATCCAGACTGTACAAATCCATCCGTATGGATATAAAGAAATGCTGAGAATAAACAACAATATTGAATATGATTCAAAATGCAGTATATATGCATATGTATGACACTGCATATACATAAAATGTATAAGCATATATTGTATAAAGTAATGTATACATTATTTCTATCTATATCTAGTGCATATGAGATATAGACTATATATTTGTACTGCAGTTGTAATGTATATATTGAGCTGATCTGCGCAGTATACCAAGCAACTTATGCAGCAGCTAATTATGTATTTAGTGCATAATAATCAGTTGAWTTCAATATTCTTAACTATTTATTTAATGTCTCAGTAAGCTTTTAAGTAATTAAGTTAGTGACAACTTAAAACAATATTGTATGAACTCAAAATGTTTATATCTCCATTTTATTAGTCTCACTATTAAATAGCATAATTTAATTATCGTMTGTATTAGTTGCAGTGACGTTGTTATATAAAAATAACAAATTGGAAATTATTGTTTTAAGCAAAACAGAATTATTATTTCACTTTTTTGAAGRTGCAGACTGACATCTTTGATATTTTCTGAAACAGTTATATTGAAACAGTTATTTCCACGAACCTAGGGTGGAGCTTTAGAATCAAATTATAARAAAAGTTATAATTCCTATTTTTWWAAATTTATATGACAACGTTGTGCGGTGTATATTAATATTAAATTTAAATAAGCAATTCATTCATACAATGTGTGTACTACATACTTGTAAAATACTGTTTTTGTYTTTTCCATTTGCAAATAAACTTCATGTCTTCTACTTGAGTTTGGAACATTTTTTAAAATGTCAAAAGACATTTTTATCAATAAGAGGAAAATCAATGGACATCTATTATGAGCAGTAAATAAACCTCATATCTTCAAGCCTGACATAAATAGTATCTTCTATATTGAATTGATTTCACGACGATAGTCAAAGAAAMAATTGGTGAGTTTTGGAAGCATGTTTTCTTTCCAGTTATGAAAAGCAAAATAAACACGCTCAACATGGAGGTCTACAACTGTGTATACAACGAAGTCAATCCATGATAACTGGCAAATAGCCATAATGCCTTGAAGTTGATAGTAATATTGATGTTTCTGTTTAAGACTCACTTGTCCATTGACATAACCAAGGTAGAAATTCTTGTCTTGACAAGCTTCAGTGATTGTCATATTAATTTTTGATGATGGACATTTAATTTCAACTGCACCATATGGAGAAGATTCTTGTGAATTGAATGCGAGTGCATCTGGACTAGCAGCTAGCCATGGCCATTTAGGATTTACCACCAAGCCAACACACTCACAGATCTTAACTTGATGATCAACTGATTCATAATATTGTAATAGTGCATTTTCTTCATTATCTTTACCCCATCGACAACTTAGAGGAATTCTCTGACTTCMWMTATTTGTTTTGATTTTTTCTAAAAGGCTTTTTKGAAAAATTGACTCTCTCCTATTCATCACTGCACCAAAATTGGAAGCAGTCAGTCTCTTCTCTCTATGCTGATACCACTCTGGGCAGTCAGCCTGGCCTCTGGTATTCCTCTCGATTTCCAGACTTTMAGCAATACTAACCTTGACTCTCTTCTTAACAATTTCAATTTGTTCAGGGGAAATCMCAATGAATGGATCAGACGCGTGATCAAGTTGTTTAAGCACATCTGTTCTAACACTCTCTGTATTTAAGTGAAGGAGAACCTTTTTCTTTTTTTCTAGTTTTATCTTGGATGTTAGGTTTTGGTAGTAAGCTTCATAATCAAATGGCTCACAGTCATGATCATCTAGTATATCTGCTAATGGAGAMTTATCTTCAAGAGTATCTCTCAGTCGTTTCAAATCACTTTTTGTTACTTTCTAAGAGAAAGTAGGAGCAGCGTTAAAACCCTCCCTTCTACCCTTAACAATTGGTCRCTTACGTCCAAGTCTATCTTTCTGATAATCTGCTTGTTCAAATAGCAAATCTTCAAAAAGCACCGCTCCCCTCTTCTCGGGATATAAAGCAGGCACATTCCA